AAAATGCAAAAAAAAATGTAAGCTCAAAGGGTAGGGAATTTAAAATGACATGAAAAGATAACGGAAATCAAAGCGTAAAATAAAGGCTCTTAAAGTAAAGTTGCTGAAATTGTGTAAAATGGTGGAACGCGTACATACATCTTTCTTCACTCATTTCTCAAAATGCAGGTACTTTGAATGTTACAGAAATGTGTACAGTTTGCATACCCCTTATAAAATGACCTTAAGTGTCTATTTATACTACGCTAAAATAATTGTTTAAGTATGATAAACTACTCCCATGGTGACACGTTCTAAGTCGTGTAGTGGTTTCCTCGACGTGTCCCACATTTTCTAAGCAATCGTTGATCTTGATGTATTTCACCTTGTTCTATTATTTGAATGTCTCAACTGATTTGTTGGTGCCAAGAACTAGCTATCCCTGTCATGGCTTTCGACGTTGACCCTGTCAGCTAGCATGCTTCAATGGACTGTCCATTGTAGTGATGTACCCCACATGTAGCATCCAAGTCAACATTATTTCCATTATAGTGATAAACTCCATGTCTGGTGGCTGAGTTGACATTACTTCCATCATAATGATGGACTCCGATCTTAGCCAACATAGCATAATACTAAATTTCTCTAAGTCCCCATGCTCTTTACCACGTCTTTCGACCTTGCCACTTTTTCCCAATATCCCTTTACATGACTTCCGACCTTGAGTCATTTTGATCACGTGGACTTACTTGTTTGTGGCATATCTATGGAAATTCCCACAAATACTTGCCATTTATAGTCTAGTTGAAAAATCCAGTGTAACAGCTCCTGGGATATAGAGGCTAACATGGTGGACAATATGGAATGACCTAAAGAGTATCTTCAAAGTTGGAAAGGGAACTCTTTTGATCAGGTCTTAAGAAAGAAGAAAGAATATGTAGCTCGTCTTAATGGAGTCCAAAGTTGCATCCAAAGAAATGACAACGTCTCAGGTATGAAAACTTTGGAAAAGAAACTGCATGCAGAGTTGAACTTTATTTTTAAGCAGGAGGAAATTATGTGGTTTCAAAGAGCGAGAACTAAGTGGTTGGTAGATGGAGATCAAAATACCAAGTATTATCATCTTAAGACTATCAACAAAAGACGAAGGAATATGATAAATATGTTAAAGAATGATGATGGCTAGTGGAAAGAAGATTCGCAGCAACTTCAGATGTTGGTCACAAATTATTTTAAGAATCTATATGCTGCTAATTATTAGTGGAAAGAGTGGAAGCACACAGAGGTTACATTCCCTGCCTGAATGATGTTGTCTTACAGAATTTGAAAGAACCTCTAAGTGATGAAGAGATTAAGAAAGCAGTTTTTGCCATGAAGCCTTAGAAAGCCCCTAGTCTGAATGGTTTTCCTGCGAGGTTCTACCAGAAATTATGGGATAACGTGTGTTAGTTTCTACATGGGATATGGAATAATCCTGAAGAGATATCTATGATTAATCAAACGGATATATTTTGATCCCTAAGAGAGACTTCCTCAACATGTCACCCACTTTCGTCCAATTTCTCTGTGCAACTCGCTATATAAGGTGATAAGCAAGATTATAGTGGAAAGATTAAAGATCTGTATTCCTAAGCTTGTCTCTCCTTATCAAGATGGGTTTGTTCCGTATAGATCCATACATGAGAATATCATCATAGCCAAAGAGATCATGCACATAATTCATCGTAATAAGGGTAAGAATGGCATGTTTGCTGTCAAAATTGATTTTCCAAGGCATATGATAAGATTAGCTAGGAGTACATTTGGAAAGTTCTCAAGGAGGCTAATTTACCAGCTGAGTTAATAAATATTATCATGTTTGCAGCCACAAGCATTGAGCTTAATATTAATTGGCATGGAGGGGTGGTGAGTTCTTTCGCCTGAACCGAGGAATTCATCAAGGGGACCCCTATTCACCGTACCTTTTTGTGCTTTACATGGAAAAACTTTCCCACATTATTGAGCAAGAGGTATTGCATGGAAATCGGAAAGTTGTTAAGATGGGGTCGCATGAATCTGAAATATCTCACCTAATGTTTGCAGATGATTTGTTTTTGTTTTGGGAAGCTTCTGAAAACCAGATGGCTTGTGTCATGGAAACTCTGTAGAATTTTTGTAGTTTGTTTGGTCAGGAAGTCAGTGAGGAAAAGTACAACATCCTTTTTTTGAAGAATGTTTCAAGGTGCTTGAGGAATAATTTACTTAATATTTCTAAGTTTAAAGATACATTCCAATTTAAGAAATATTTGGGAGTTCCTCTTAGTCGTAGAAACCTAAGAATAGCATATTATCAGTTTATTATAGATTAAATCTCAACCATACTTTTGAATTGGAAGGATAATTTCTTGTTGTTTGTTGTCCGTATTACTCAAGCTAAAAGTGTCTTAGAGGCTATACCTATCTATCTGATGATGACTAGCTTACTCCCTAAGTCGTGTTTGGAAGAGATTCAAAGATTACAAAGAAACTTTATTTAGGGAGACTCTGTTGAAGCGGTAAAGCAGCAAGCAAAAAATATTAAGTACCCAGTTTTGTCGTCTCCACAGGGATTAGTGCGATCTGAACGCCGTTCAACAACCTCTACATTTCTAAGCTTATTTTCAAAAGGTTTGGTTTAAAAGGTTCAAAGAACCATGGATAAAAACCAAAAATATAAAGACGGAAAATATAAATAAAGACCGAAATATAAACGGAGCCTTGTTGGGATGGGATTTCATCAATTGATAACACATGCATTCTTCTGATCAAATTAAACACAACGCAATCATTCGTCTAATATCCTCACGTATTACTCACGATAAAGCTTATCTCTAACGCAGCGTCGAGAGAACAACCATGTTGTTTCATTGGTGATCTCTCTACCAACAAAAACACAACACAGAGCATTAAGATCTGATACTCAAGCAAATGCTAAGCCTAAACCTATCTCTAGCATTTAGAACCTAACAGGTAATCATCCTAGATCCAGATCCGAAAAGTATATCTCTATCACGATTCAAATCAAAGATTAACAGGTAAACAAGAATGAAACCCATATCAGATAAACAATTGTTTCATATAAAATACAATGATCAAAATATGTACACACGCTTAACCCTTTTTACATGTATTCATCTAATCCGCCAAATGTCGGTGAACATCGTTCTTCATCATTATTATCACATACCCACACAATATCATATTGATCCTAGCCATGCTACTTAATCCACACAACACCATAGAGGATAAAATTAATATCAACTTCAAAACTATGTCAGAAGTTTGTTCATTGATAGAAGAAGATCTGAGATCAAAGGTGTGAAATAATTTTGTCAAGACCCAGAAATACATAATCAAAGATAATAAATCAATAGAGAATCCAAACTAGTTCACAAACATAAATTAGATGAAATACATAAGGTATCAAAAGATTACAATCCAAACGCCAACAAGAGATCGAAGATCTTACCTCCTCCCCCTTAGGGTTTTATGTTTCTCTCTCTAAAAAATGAAGAGAGATAAGTTTTGGTCTTTCTAAATGTTACAAAATGAAATTCTGAAAAGTTATCTAGTTCTAATCCCTAAAAAACACTAAATAAAGTATTAAAGATGTTATGTTTCCCCCCATTCACCAGGCGAACAGGGGCCTTCACCAGGCAAATCAAATGAGCAAACCGCCCTTCTGAGTTACTGCGCCTTCGCCAGGAGAATGATTCCTTCGCCAGGAGAACCTTCGCTGGCTTCACTTGCCAGGCGAACTTCATGCCCTTTAGGTCTGGGAGTTTAATTTGAATTACTCGCCCTGGCTCGCCAGCATTCGCCAGGCGAACATTCGCTGGCACTCGCTGAGCTTCGCCAGGAGAATGCTCTGATTTCCAGTTTCTTCCAGCAGCTCTGTCCCATCTTTTCCAAGGTGCTCCAACACTCCAACTAGTGTCAATCCTGCACACTAGCATCATTTTGTTGGTTGCATGTTGTCTTGGTTTCCTTGCCCATTTATTGTGTCTTACTTCTCACTTGTTTTGTGCCTAATTCCTGCACAATAACACACAAATCAAAGGTACCAAGAGATTTTCACAATATATTTCAAACCAAACAAATCAAGAGTGGTTTTCTACACTTTATTGACAAAAAATAAGTGAAAGATGTCAATATTTGATAGATCAAATAAGTGTAATTTGGCATCTAATAGACTCTAATAGAGGTAGGAAGGTGCACGCTTTAAGCTGGAAGACGGTGAATTTGCCTAAGGAAAGTGGAGGTTTGGGGCTTAGGGATCTCTCAACCATGAATCATGCTCGTATCTTGAATTTGGCTTGGCATTTAATCAAAGGTTCAGAGGATTTGTGGTGCTCGGTGTTGAGAGGTCTCTACCAAAAGGTGTAGTTGAACAACAACAATAGTAGGAAGAAATCATGGCTTGATTTATGAAGGGACATTAATAAGTCTATTCTTCATTTATTAAAACAAGGCAAGTGGCTTTTAGGCAATGGTAGCAGTGTGGACACTTTGGAAGATAGTTGGATAGATACCGGGTCTTGTATTTGTGATCAAGAGCAATCAATACCAGTTAATGTTCAAGGAGAAAAAGTTTGTGATTTGGTGATAGAGAGGGGGATTGGAACTGGAAGCTTCTGTAGCTTTGGATATCACCTGGTATTACGGACAAGATTAAAGAGTTGAAACCTCCTAATGATAGTCTTGAATTGGAAATATTTGTTCTGGAAGGAATGAAGCATGAGTGTGCATCGGTGAAGCAGTTATATGGCCTCATGATGCAAGTTTATAATACTAGTACTGATCAGGATTGGAAAAGAATTTAGAGGTTAAAAGTCCTTGGGAGGGTTAAGACCTTTATTTGGTTGCTGAAACATGATAGGTTGTTAACGAATTATAGTAAGAGTCATCAAGGGCTTGGTGCAGCCACATGTAACTTGTGAAGCCATGCAACTGAAACTACTTTGCATATCTTTCAAGATTTTTCACTTGCTTGGAAAATTTGGATGCATATTGTGCCTTTGAGCATAAAGTACAAGTTTTTTAATGTGAAGTTGGAAGAATGGTTTAGCTTGAACATTAATCATAGCTTAAAGGCAGAGGCGGGTTGGAGTGTGTTTTGGGCGATGGCATGCCACTCTATCTGTTTTTGGCAGAATCGAGAGGATCATAATGAGGAGTTTGTGAGGCCTTTTAACCCCACCTTACACATGCATGGTCGATTGAAGGAGTATGAGGATGCTTTGGTTTTGAATAAGAAGGTTGTTAGGAGGAACAAGAAGATCATGCTTATTAAGTGGATACCTACGAAGCTAGGCATGGTGAAATTTTATGTGGATGGTGCTTGCATTAAGGGAGTTGCGACAGGCTGTGGGGGAATTGTTAAAGATGATAAAGATTATTGGTTGGGTGGTTTCGCTAAAAGTGTAAACATGTGTAGTAGCTATATGGCTGAGTTGTAGGGGTTGCTAATCAGAAGGGTGGAAGTGAATGTGGATTTGTTAGTAATCGTGTTGGATATTAATCAGAGGAGAACTAGAAGTAATGTATGTTTATATATGTTTAGAAAAATTGAGAGCCTTTTAAGTAGGTTTGATGAGGCCCATGTGAAACACACGTTTAGAGAATCAAAAAAGTGTGTGGATGCTCGTGTTAAAATTAGGTATATATTAAATAGGAATTAACATCAGTATTCTATTACTTCAAACTTCATTGAGAAGTTGTTAGCCGAAGATTTTGTGGAGGCACCTGCTCCAGGGAGGTTTTCTTGTAGTCTTTTCCTTTCTTTGGGCCTTTGGCCCTCTATTTCACAAAAAAATAATAATAAATAAAAGATTTGCCTCAATGCAAAGTAATTTTCAAAAGTTTTTTTTGGTAATAGAGAGAGCATTTAACTTGATACTCCCCACTTGAACCTGACACCCCCTATTGTGTATGAAAAGACGACATTGCCTTTGCAAAATCATTTTACCCATTATCCAAATCTACAGTATATAGGTGCGAATTTGAAAATTCTGCGACGATATCGGAAATTTGGAAAAGCTTACTGGAAATTTAAAAAACAGTAAGTTTTTAAGCCGAAAATTACAAAATTTATGGTATTTTGTACCACAAATTTCAAAATTTTCCGGTGTTTATTATGAAATGTTTACCAAAATTTTCAAAAATTTCCGGTGTTTATTATGAAATGTTTACCAAAAATTTCAAAATTTCAGGTATAAAATCCCATGGAATATACAAGAATTTTCAAAATTTCTGGTATTTATAAAAACCTAGTTCTGTACCAAAAATTCTAAAATTTCTGGTATTGATAAAACCTTTGTTTTTTACTAGAAATTTCAGAATTTTCGGTAGTTATAAACTTTATTTTTTATCAGAAACTTTGAAAATTCTGGTAGTTGCTATTTATTTTCCTTCTTTTACAGTGAAATACAGAGGCAACGATGACACTATTGCATAGAGAGCTATTGGTAGAGAGGCAGACCAAACTAAAGGTTTTGAGACTGAGTCTTTCCCTATACGGGCTAACGAGTGGTTCCATCCGGTTTACACCAGAAGCAGTTGGCTGAGAAGGGTCAGTTTAGCGCACCTCATAGCACTCGACACCGACCAGTACGATCAGTAGAGCAACCTAGAGATGAGGTGGTGCATCCAGATGCTACTGTTGTTGATTAGGTGGTTGTTGATATAACGGTTACTGAGGAGGTTGCAGATCTCGTAGTTGAGGAGGTTGCTGAGGAGGTTGCTTTAGAGGAGGTTGTTGAGGAGGTGTTACTCAGTGTGAGTGCAAATTTTTGTTAGATGTATTTTACATGATGTCAAAACTAGGATACTTTAGTATTAATGTATATTGGACGGTATCCTCTGATTCTATATGTACATCTTAGTATTAGGAAACGTTAAAATGGTTTGGAAAAGTTTCATAAATCAAAAATCCATTGAAAACAATTTTTTGTGAAAAGCATTACAATATGTGTTGACACATAGAGGTTTCAGGTCAGCACATAGAAGGAAATTTTTCCTATGTGTCGACACATCCATCCTTCAGGTCGACACATATGTTGTAGTATTAAAGCTTGTAGGCCCAGCCTATGTGCCTCCTCCTATAGGTCAACACATGACCTTTTTCAGGTCGACTCATAACTTTAATAGGTCGGCTCATACAATGCATTTTTCCAAAATTCACAATTTCCTTCATTCCTTTGCATTCCCCATGCTTCCAAACTTGCATACATATAAATACTTGATACATGCATAATTTCTAGTACGGTTCTAGAGTAAACCTACACGAAATCTGGATTTCAGAGCATTCTCATCATCTTCAACCTCTCTTGTATACATACATACAATCAAACTACGCATAATCATTTTTTTATTGGGTTCCATCTAGATTAGGGTTGATAACATTCAATTTAGGTTGTTTGTACTATAAATTGGGCATAGTTCTTTGAGGGTTTCAAATAAGAAAATCGAGTTGGGGTTTTCCTTCAATATTTTTAAGGGATTTGAAGATTTTAGACAAGATTACGCAATACGGATCCGATCGAGTGAAAGCCTTGGGACAAGGGGTGCCTAGCAAGGGAGTAGCATGCGACATTGGATCACCTCGGTAAATCTTGGGTTTCAACAACTGTGCGCTTGGAATTAATTAGACATAGTGAAATCATTTTGGGATAAGGGGTGCCTTATAAGGAAGTAGCGAAAATAGGTGAATTGAAGCGACTTTGTTGGTCACTTGATCAATCTTTGATCAAGGTTTTTGGAGGTGCTAGAATCAACATCAAACTTAGGGTTTGTAGGGTTGGGTTCCTACTTCTCTTATATACATACTTTTGAAAAGTAAGTTTAATTGCAATTATCTCAATTTTAATTAGAATTAAGGGCATACATATCCATTAAGAGATTAACTGGGGAACTGCCTAAACAATTTCTTGTGTACTATCTCTCTCTCTCTCTCTCTCTCTCTCTCTCTCTCTCTCTCTCTCTCTCTCTCTCTCTCTCTCTCTCTCTCTCTCTCTCTCTCAATTTCTTTTAATTTGTGTTTGCAAATTATTGAATTCATTATTCGTTTGATCAATTCGTTTGAAAATTATTTTTGATCACATTTTAAAATAGGTGTTGTTGAGTTAATCGCAATCTTTTTTATTATGATTGGATTTTAAGATCAACAAAACCAAACAAACCTCCAAACGATGTCAATTGCACACAAGGTGTTCGATAAATTGTCTTATTGTGTTTTGTGTGTTTTGATCATTGAGAATAATATTTACGTATAGCTTATCATTCAATTGGCTTTAATTAAGAGTTAAACAATTTGTGTTCATTATCATACGCTTGTGTACCTTTACACATTTCCTAGCTTTTTGATAGAGGTTCGGTTAGACGATACGTTTGTGTACCTTTATGCACTATCATACGCTTACCAAAAGTTTTTAACTTGTGATCTATTCACCCTCTCTAGATTGAAGTTTATCATCTAACAAGTGGTACCACGAGCTCTAGTTATTCTGTGCTTAAGATTTGTTTATTAGAAGAATGACTACCGAACCTAAGAGAGCGTACAATAGAGCACCAATTTTCACCGACGAAAATTATGGCTATTAGAAAGCTTGTATGTGTGTTCATGTAAACTCGGTTGACAAAGGTATATGGGACACCATCATGAATGGTCCTAATGAAATTACAATGACCAATGGTGAAGGAGTTACTGTACCTAAACTAGAATCACAATGGAATGATGATGATAAGAAATTGTGGTCACATGATTGGAAGGCACAAAATATTCTCACGTCCGCACTCAGTGTTGATGAATATTATCATGTATCTCATTGTGATACCACCAAAGTTATGCGGGAGGCATTATAAGTTGCCCATGAGGGAACTAATTAGGTCAAACAATCTAGGAACAATACCTTAAATCAAAAGTTTGAACTATTTCACATGGAGCATGGTGAAACCATTGCCGACATGCAAAAGTGGTCACACATCTTATTAATCGATTGAATGCTATAGGTAAGCCTATTTCCAATGATATTGCTACTAATAAGGTTTTGAGATGTCTTAATAGGGAATGGAAAGCCAAGTTCACCACTATCGAAGAGGTGAATGATCTTAAAGTACTTGATCTCACTACTTTGTTTGCAAAATTGGAAGAACAATAGCAAGAACTCACTTGCTTGGAAAAACATGAAAAGAGTATGAAAAGAAGGTAAGGAAAAAGAAAGGTAAAGACAAGAAGGTAGAGAAGAAGTTTATTGATCTAAAGAGTTCAAGCTCAAAGTCCTCATACCATGAGCAAAGTAATTTTGAAAGTAGAGATGACAAGAATTCCGATGATGAGGATATTGGGTTGTTTGTCAAAAGATCCCAAAGGTACATAAGGAAAAATGGAGTCAAACACTCCGATAAGAACCTAACCAAATTTAGAAGGCTAACAAACTACTTAAAGGAAGATAAGAATGGGAAAGGTAAACTTAAAATTTCTTGCTACAATTATGGGGAAGTTGGTCACTATAGACCGGAGTGCCCTATGATGAAAAAAGACAAAGAGAAAGAGCATCACAAGAAATATAGCAAGTCTATAAGAGCTTATACCGCTTGGGAGAGTGCAAGTGATTCCTCAAGTGATGAAAGCACAAGTTCAAGTATTGAATCGGCCTGCATTTTCCTCATGGCAAGCAAAAATAAAAACAAAAATGTAAGTCTTTCTAAGCTTAGATCTATTAATGAACTATCTTATCTTCAACTACAAAAGGCCTATGAAGATCTTCATAAAGAGGCCTTAAGAGCTTTTAACAAACTAGAGTCACATGAAAAAGTCTTTTTACACTTAGAAGCTAAAGTGTTAGAATCTGAAAGGAAGTTAGAAGCTATTAAAAGATCTATGATAGATGTTCAAAAGGACAAGAATAAGGATGTAAGACCTTTAAGGTTTGATTGTGAACATTATCACAATTTGCAAGAAGAGGTAAATACTCTTCAAGTCAAATCGGAAAAAGCCTTACAACCTAAGATTTAATTTGCTATTAATCCTGCAAAGTTTGAAAAATATTTGAATCATTTAAATAAAAAACATAAATATGTGCATACGGATTCAAATAGCAAAGGTACATCTCATCACAACTTATCTTGTTACTACTGTTCCAAGAAAGGTTATACTATTGAAAAATGAAAGTTTAGGAAACATTTTATCCCAAAAGAGTTGTTCAATGGTTGCCTAAATGCAAATTTGATTTCAATCACTCTCAAGAACCCAATGAAAATTTGGTACCTATTTCCCTTGTTTGATTCTACAGGTTGAATGCCTTAACTGTATTGATAAGACGTGGTATCTTGATAGTGGATGCTTAAGACTTATGACAGGTGACATATCTCTATTCATTGACTTTGTGCCAAAGAAGAAGGGATTAATCACTTATGGAGACAAAAATAAGGGAGTATTACTTGGAAAAGGTAGTGTGGG